ATCAAGATATTTTTTTGAAGAAGTGTATAGGTAGCTATTCGGATTTCTAAGTAACTAACTTAGAGGTCAAAGAAGGCTGACTAATGGAGGTGTCCATTTTGAGATAAGTGTAGCAAACTTAAACTTTTATTTTAGGGAAAGTTTCTCTGATGGCATTCATAATATTCCATAGACATGTGCTCATAAAAAAAAGAATGAAAAAAGGAAAGAAGGATAGAAAGAAGGGTAGAACCAAAGAAAGAAAGGAAAGGCCTTGACATGGAACATTTGACAATTATGTGTGTAAATACTTCACCATGGGATTATGGCACTTTCTCTTTGTGTGTTTTTTTTTTTTTTTCTGTAAATTTTCATTCAGAAATAATTTTAAACTTACAGGAAAGTTACAAAAATGAAAGTGTTAATAAAACAACATGCATATACTCCTTACCCAGATTCACACTTTTAATCTACCAAACTACCAGGATGACCTCACTAACCAGGGAGTTGGAAAATGAAGCTCAAAACTACCTCTCACAAATCAATCTGATATGTATCAATCACATGCCAGTGGACTCAGTCCTTGACATCAAAATGTATAATGTTTTACTAATGGAATTTATAATAGATTTACTATATGCCAGATATCTTGTATTATCTCATTTACTGCTCATCGCAGCATTAGGAGTATAAACTATCAGCATCCTGTCTTATTAACATAGAAACTGGACGTAACCAGATTAAGTAACTTGCCTCAGGTTACCTAGTTAATCTAAGGAAGAGTCAACTTTCACATCCAAGCCCTCAATTTTGAGGGCACCCCTCCAGTTTTGCTATGCATACCACAATTTGGAGTAGACAGAACTAATGAGATGTTAATATATTGTACTATATAATCCAGTGGCCTTGATGAGTGCAATTAAAACTAACCAAAAGTTTAGTATTATAAATAAGAAATTTAAGATGAACATGGATTCCAAATGAAAATCACACAAATAGGGGATGAGGATAATAATTTTAAAAAATTCCGTGAAAAAATTGGATTTTTCTTCTACTTGATATGAATCAACTACATAATTAAACAATTTAATAAAATCATTATGAATTTTGTATTTTTAATAGTTTTGACAAAATAGACACTTGCTTTAGCTTAGAGTACTTTGGGGACATTATTATATTTTTCAGTAACCATATTTTAAAAATTGAAGAAAGTGCAACAGAAATAGCTA